CCCACACACCCACACACCCACACACCCATACACCCACACACCCACACACCCACACACCCACACACCCACACACCCACACACCCACACACCCACACCCACACGCACGCACGCACGCACGCACGCACGCACGCACGCACGCACGCACGCACGCACGCACGCACGCACGCACGCACGCACGCACACACACACACACACACACCCACACCCACACCCACACCCACACCCACACCCACACCCACACCCACACCCACACCCACACACCCACACACCCACACACCCACACACCCACACACCCACACACCCACACCCACACGCACACACGCACGCACGCACGCACGCACGCACCCACACACACACACACACACACACACGCAAGACATATCATTCATCTTTGTTCTCGAACCGTTGGTTTCCAGTTGGAAGCTCCGGCCGAGTTGCGTGGCCGTGGGGCTGGGGGACCCAAAGCCGGACGAGGCCTAAGGATGCGATTGTGCCAGAGGAATCGTTTGGACATGCCGGGCATCTGGCTGTATTTCAGGCAAATCAAAAGCATTTCAATATCATGAGAAGGGGCTCTCATGACTGCCCGAGGGATACTACAGCGCCATGGACCCCAAAACACTGAACTCAGCAGGGCAAGATGCACCCAGGCAAGCCTGTGGAAGCAAGGTCTAACAGTTTCAGGGTTTGCAGGTCGATTGATCCCATGCCCAATCGGGCAGGCATGTTAGGCAGTCCCGCTCCTTTCTGCAGGTCCCCTGTTGAGAGCTCCATGCCAGTTTTGTAAGAGCGACTTGTTGGCTTATTGTCCTTGCAATGAAAGAGGATGTCGTAAGAATGGGCTTCAGGGATTCCAGTCCTCAAAGATCCCTAGTTCAGGCCTCTGGGGCTCGCTGTGGGCCTGTCTCAAAGTTAGGGCCTCCTGTTTTCTCTCACGTTCGTGCAAAAACCAGGCCAAAATAGAAGATGCATCCATCTCTGACACACGCCCATATGCGGCCGAAACAAAGCGGGATACCTTTGAGGCCCCCTTCTACTTTGAAGGGCATTCAAAGGACATCACAGGACAGGGATGTGAACCATCGAACCCCGGTTCAAGACACCCTCAGTCAAATCAAGAGATTGACTACAAGCCCAGCGTTGAGCCAAGCGACCTGAATCACGCTTGGAGCCTGAGCCTTGAACGGGCTGGGGCAAACTGCCTGCAAAATCTATTCTTGCGGGCAAAGCCACATGCACACCTTCCAATCACGCAATGAGTTTTCTTCTTAATCGCCCTCTTTTCCGCTCTTTTCCCACTTCTCTAATTCTTGTCACCTATAGCTCTTGCCGTACTCAACTTAAGCCGCGGATTGGAAACATGTGGCAGTTCGACTTACTCTGCTCTGAGAGCAACACCTCTGATGAACGAGCGCTGACCTTGGCCTGCGCTGCTTTCAAGTTTTTCGAACCACCCCGTTCTCATTTCTCGCCTTCGGTACGTTGGTGCCGTGATTGAATCTTGGGAAGCCCATTTTCGGCTGCTCCATTGACAGCTCAATGCACCAAACATTGATCTCAGCGCTTCACAGTCAGCTACCTACGCGCAAGCCGCTCTGCCTGTCTGACGTCATCCTCTTTCACCTGGAGCGGACAAGCTCTGAAGTGAGTACGCTCGGGAAGTAGGAAGGGCAATGCGGATTATGTTCCATGGCTAAGTCCCGTCCCCGAACCGCGCATGCAAGAACCGCATTGCGGTCACATCTTTGCAACACGGACAGATCCATGGGCCAATCTTTGGGTCTCTCTCTCTCTCTCTCTCTCTCTCTCTCTGAGTGCTGATGTATCTGCAGGGCAGAGTGCACAAAGGTCTTTCACTGTGAGCAAAGGGTGATGACTTCCCGTCGAACTTCAAAGAAAGCTCTCAAGCAATAAGCACAGCCACAAGCAAGGTTAATGCAAAGGTCGGACCTTGGGTTCACATGACTCGGTCGTTTTGTTGCGTGTGATGCCCAACTCATGCAATACAGCATACACGAGTTTCTTCAACCAGTATTGAGCTGAATCTGGCACCTGTTCAACAAGACAAAAGCAAGGAACCCCTCGGCAGCGACCCGTCGCTTGCAACCGGCAGCCTCCGCGCTTTGTGCGCTTCTCACACTTTGTCCACTCCTCGCACTTCTCGCACTTCTCGCACTTCTCTCGCTTCTTCCGCTTCTTCCGCTCGAGCCATGCTCGGACCTCAAGTCGTTCCAGCAAAGCTTGACACTCTACAGATTTTGATACGTGGGCCAACAAGCAGCCAGTTCTTGGATAAGATACGACATACTTGTAGCGTGCTGAGAATGATGTGAGTCCACTTATGCGACATTAGGGCTGGATTGAGCAGCTGCTGCCGTTATTTGGCATGCATTGAAGCACTATTGCAGCTGAAGGAGTTGGATTCACCACTTGGAATGTCCTATCTACGGACCAGCATTTGCTAGCTCTTCCAAATGATCGCTGGCTCGTTTGTCAGTTGATCGCCCTGTTCCAGATACAGAGTGGCACCATCACGCACACACAAACACAAACACAAAAACAAACACAAACAAACAAACAAACAAACAAACAAACAAACAAACAAACAAACAAACAAACAAACAAAACAAAACAAACAAAACAAACAAAACCAAACCAAACCAAACCAAACCAAACCAACAAACAAAAACAAACAAACAAAGAAAACAAAGAAAACAAAGAAAACAAACAAACAAACAAACAAACAAACAAACAAACACACACATACACACTGCAAGAACCTCAACTTGTCAATTCCCAAGGCATGAACGTGAGTCCCAAAAAATCGAACCAAGAAAAGCAAGCAGTCGCTTTATTTCAGCTCCCTTGGCCCCAACCCTGTGCCCTGCGAATTGCAGCCAAGGCGCGGGAGTTTGGCGGATGCCTAGGGGACCCAACCACCGAAGTGTGATCCGTGCACCACGCCCGGGGTCAACGGCCATGCTGAAGCAAGCCAACAGCAATTTGCAAGCAGCTTGACAAAATCCACATCGTCTCAGAGATGTGCGCTGCCAATGGCGAAGTGGGTTCTGTGCTTGCGTGATCTACATTGCTTTGACCGCCAGCAAAGCGACACGGCTCTCTGCGAAACATGTCACTCAGCACGCTGGGAGCAAGGCGCGGCCGGGTGATGCTGGTGTGACCTTGCAGGGAGTCTCAAGATGCCAGCTTGCCTGAAAATGTCGGAAAAAGGACGGGTGAGATTATTGATCTCCCTTGTCGGAGGATCCAGCTATGGAAAGGCTTTCTCCTTGGGCCCAGGCGTCTCCCAGCAGCTCGGGAATGTCCTGGGCAAGACTCTAGACGAACATACATCGGAATTGTTGATGATCCTCTTCTTTGGGGAGCCAACCTTCGTAGTAAATGCCTTGGACTCTTGAAAGAACCGAGGCTCCCATCTGCTAACAACGCTGAAGCAATGCAAGGACATCACTGGATAGACATTGCCTCTGGTACTTGCATTTTGTCCAATCTTACACTTGCTTTGAGCCATCGAACGTCAATAATGTCAGAGCCTTTTCAAGGACCAGTTGGTTCTAAGCATTTCATTGTGTTTTATTTATCTCTCGCTTTCTTGCTTCTTTGGTTGCTAGCTTATTGCAAAAGTCGATCACGTTCGTTCTTGGAAACAAGGGATTAGCATAGCAGTCAGTTCTGATTATCATGAACGGGTGCAAGACGCCACTTGCTGCTTCTGACCTGGCTTGCCATGGCCTGTAGTCCGTACTCATAGCTGATGCAAACACCAACAACCAGCAGTGTCAAGCATGACGCGCCAAAACTTCTCAATGTCAGGTTGAGACATCTTGCAACTTAAGACTCTCACTGGCAGATGACAAGGGCAAACTCATACAACAAAGGTTATCAGATTCAGGGGGCATTCATAAAGAAGCAGCACATGATGACCCAACTCGGGGAGATGATGAGACCCACCCAAACTTTTCCTGCAACCACAATAAGTATCAGGCCCCCTCTTCTTCTCTTGCGTCATTCTCGAAGCCCCCGGTCTTCGATGGGAGTGCCTGGCAAATGTAGCGGTTTGTCAGCACCGGAACGACCTTCAGCTTGGGGACGAAGTGCCATCTACACCCCAATTTAGCCATATTCCCTAGCCATGTTCTGGGCGTTGGGAGGGCTACAGTGAGAACGGTAAGTTTTCGACACAGCTGCGAGAATGGCATGACATCCACCAGAAGACGGAACACTCGTGCTTTTACAGATTGAAAAGTGCTACTCCCTCCCAGTGTCGGCCGTGGTTCCCACATGGCGCAAATTCATCGCTCCGCCTCATTGCCATGCAAATCAAGGTCACCTACTTTTAAGAAATTATATTGTTCAAGAACTGGCAGCGAGTGTTCGGTCATGAGGATAAATCAAGCCGTAGCCCAAGCATTTCTCGCTGGCCAGCCTCTGCACCTGTATAAATAATGTTCACACACAACCGAAAAAAAAAACAAAACGACTTGAAGAAACAAGATCGGTATTTTTACCGAATCTGGATTGGGAACCCTTTGGTGAACATCATTTACATGGGAACTCTTGACCCTGCCAATCAGTCTGCAACACCTGACCCATCTTGCCGCTCAGATTTGTACGCTTCTAACACTGGATCTGAGCCCATTGCTGCATTGCAGCCAGGCTTTGGCGTGGCCTGCAGGACGGATGGGATGCATGGTGCTAAGCTGGCAAGGGGATGTCAACGTCTTTGTGTCTTTCCTACCAGGAGGCACCGCCAAAAGTCACCATCCGAAGGGAGTTTGAATTGCCATGTTCGGTGACTAGTCTATTTGTCATTTCTGAAACTGCCAATCGTCCCGCACGTTTCCATATTTGCGCATCTCTCAGCAGCGGTTGCAAACAAACGTGCGGCCAAGGAGCCCCTGTCAAAGCCCATGGAAGAAACAACTCACTTGCCATCTCAAAATTAGGGAGCTGTCCAACTGATGATACTCTTTTTAAGGGGCATCAGCTTGAGTCACGTGGTCTATTTGGAGCTCCAGCACACTCTCATCATCCTGTGCAGATCTATCAGCGTGCCAGTGAGGCGACCAAGTGTCATAAGTGCATCGGAGTCTCAGAGGTCCTGAACACTTTCTTGGTAATTCTATTATTCAGCCTCATTTACAAGTCATGTGGATCTCCTCTTAATGCTTCTACCCGTTTATCACACTTGCATAATCTTGAGACGACCTTGCCTGTACCTTCACCCTGTTTGCACCAAAAAATGGTTTTCAGTGAGCTAGTGCTCATTGAGTTGAAGGGTGCTTGACACATTAGTCGTGCTTTGGCAAACAGCCAGCTTCTTCAAACAATCAGCCCCGTCAAGACGCCCGTGCCTCATCTGAATGGGAACTGGACCTCATTGCACAGTTTGCAGGCTGAGCTACCCATCAAAAGCAGCATGCACACATATGTTTGTGAAATAGGTTATTGTGCCAGTGCAGAAAAGCATAGCACACAACTGAAAAAGCAGCGACGTTGCCAGTTCTCTGTTGAACATACTTCTCCCTTGCAACACTGAAAACACGGATGGTTTCAACAGGTCAATCATATATCGTATATCCCTCCACCTGCAGATTCCTAGAATGGAACTGAGCTGGTTGCTCTGACTCTTTCAAGGTACCATCAACCCGCTCAAAGCCAAGGGACAGAGAGTTCAAGTGCACCCCAGCAAACGGAAACTCACCCAAACGTAGCAACCAAACGATAGTGCAAAAAAAAAGATGGAGAATTCATGTTGGAACCCTGAAGGACCTCTGTGCCTCCGTGCCGAACGCTGTCAGCCAAAGTGCCGACATGCTGCACTGAGGACTCCTTCGAGTCAACACTTCGCCCTGCGGTTTGGCTCATGTTGAACAGCATGGCCCCATGGTTTTTTGCCTGACAATTCAATCCCGGTTCATGAGGCATGTTGGCCAGGACGCCATCGGAGGGGCCTGGGAGGCCTATGTTGGGATCTGCATCGATTCTTGCCACCTTTGCAAACAAGGCAGGTGACCCACAAGAGGGCCACACTGTTTTCTGAAAGACTCGCCCAAGAACAAGATCTTACATATTCAAGAGCGCTGTAGAGAGGCCAGCCGTCACTCACAAAAACACATGCGTGCAAGAACCGAACTTGTCAACAACGCATGATGTTGGCGCGCTAATATTCCAAGTACAAGTGGAGTTGACAAGTGGGCGAGAGAAAACACCCACAACTTCACAGTCTTCAACGCAAATCACAAAGCAGCAAAATCAAGGATGAATCCAGCAATTGCCCGCACCCCAAACGGAGCAGGAATGTCGCTGGCTCATGTTTAAACAATACAAACAGTTTGATGTTTAAACGTTGAAACAGCATTTGCTTAAACGTTCCATGGTGGACTTTTAGCGGCTCGCCGCCGCCGCCCCCACACAAGGAAGATAACCTCGTTGAAACGTTTAATCACGCTCGAATGGTTCGCCTAAACTCTACCTCAGAGGGTGCCTAAACACTGTCTAAACGTTTAAACATGTTTAGACGGTCCGCCTAAACAATGTCTACGTATCTCTGGGGCTGTTTCAACATCGCTGAAACGTTTAAGCGGTCCGCCTACACTGTGTCTGCCTCGGCGGCTCTTGAACTTGACCTTGAATTTGTTGAACGGTCTGCCTTTTTCTGAAGTCCTCCTTGAATGACCCAGCCTTCAATACTGGCAGAAAGCATTGGGATTTGCATCAGCTTTGTTGGTTCGTTTGTAGATGGCTGGTTCTGCAAGAAAAATCCAGTACTGCTGCGGCATGGACTTGTTAAACCACGTTTATACATCAAGGGAGGGCCTGCAAACGTGTTTAAACGTTTTACGCTTGAACGATTTGAGGTTGCACTTGTTTGTCCCTTTTCCTGCTTTAGAGCCCTTGACCGAACCCCTATTTGCCTCACCCGTATGGGCCTGGTGGTGAAGCCTTTAAACATGTGAAACGGTGCTCCTCGACGAGCTCAGCCTCCGAGTCCTGCGGGCTCTGCACTGGACAAAACTTTATGAACAAAAGAAACACCAAGGGACCGGGAAAGAAACTTTATGAGCTAAAGGAAGCAAGCTATCTAAAGGGTGGTCATGGTTCCCTTCACAGGATTGTTCCTTGTGGAAGCCGCCTATTCAGGAACATCACCATGCATGACTATCGCTATGAATTCCAAGCAAGGAGGTCTTTTGACCTCACTACATTTGGCCGGTCATTCCATCACCTCTTTCATACGCTGAGTTCAAACAACTTTATTGATTCTTTCGCTAGGTGGCTCAACCACAAAACGACGGTCCAGTGAGCCCACGGCAAGGCTCTGCGTTCACCACGAATGCTGCATCTGGGGTAACCATAGTAAGGAAATAAAACCGCTTCACGGGAAATAAAACCGAGGACCAGCCGGCACCATGAAAAGGCATTAAGGATATAGGCAGATCCAGCAAGAAAATACAAAACAAACATGAGAAATAAAAATATACGACGGACCGGACGGACTGGACGGATGGAGTGGATGAGCCGCATGAGCTGGCTGGCGCGGACTGGACGGACCGGACTGGGCGGACCGACCGGACGGACCGCGGACTGGACGGACCAGCCCCCCCCCCCCCACGATGATCGAAAATTGCCGACGACGATCGAAAAAGTGATGTTTCAATTAGGGGCAAACAGAAAAGGGGTGCGGATTTATTTTGGGTGTTTTCTTCGTTTTTGCGTTTTTTTGTTTTTCGTCCGGGCAAATAAAATGTCGTATTTTACAGCATTTTCTCGCGAAATTGAGCTAGCCCGTCAACATCCCCAGCATCGTGTTCAACATCCCCCGCATGTCCGACCAACATCCCTAGCATCACCAACAAATCGTGGGAAACCAAATCCAAAAATGTAGCTGGCGGGTTGACGGGGTGAAAAAAAATAATGCTTCAAACAGGAGGGCATCTCAATCCCAGCCAGAAAAAAACAATAAAAGGGGTGGCAGCCCCTCCCCATGATGGTCTGATGATTAGAATAGGGGTGTAATTCGGTCTCTGCAAAAAAAAAAATCTAAAAAGTAGCGGGGGAGGGGGGGGTTGGGGGGGCGGCAGCCCCCCCCATGATGTTCGAAGAATTGATGATTCAACGAGGGGCGCAATTCATTTAATCTCTATAGAAAATCTAAAACGTAGCGGGGGGTTTGGGGCTGCCGCCCCATGATGTCGGAAGAAGTGGTGATTCAAGTAGGGGTGCAATGATTCAAGAAAGGGTGTGATAGAATTTAAAAGGCAGCGGGAGGGTTGTTCGAAGAAATGCATACATACAGACAGACATGGACTGCACAGATTACCCAAAATGTCGTATTTCGCAATATTTTCTCGCGAAATTGGTACTCGAAAAAGTGATGATTCAAACAGGGGTGCAATTCAATCTCTGCCGGGCCAGTAAAGTGTCGTATTTTACAGCATTTTCTCGCGAAATTGACGCATTTTCAACATCCCCAGCATCGTGTTCAACATCCCCCGCATGTCCGACCAACATCCCTAGCATCACCAACAAATCGTGGGACACCAAATCCAAAAATGTGGCTGGCGGGTTAACGGGGTGAAAAAAAATAATGCTTCAAACAGGAGGGCATCTCAATCCCAGCCAGAAAAAAATAATAAAACAGAGCGGGGCAGCCCTTGCCATGATGGTCTGATGATTGGAATAGGGGTGTAATTCGGTCTCTGCAAAAAAAAAAATCTAAAAAGTAGCGGGGGAGGGGGGGGTTGGGGGGGCGGCAGCCCCCCCCATGATGTTCGAAGAATTGATGATTCAACGAGGGGCGCAATTCATTTAATCTCTGTAGAAAATCTAAAACGCAGCGGGGGGTTTGGGGCTGATGTCGGAAGAAGTGGTGATTCAAGTAGGGGTGCAATGATTCAAGAAAGGGTGTGATAGAATTTAAAAGGCAGCGGGAGGGCTGTTCGAAGAAATGCATACATACAGACAGACATGGACTGCACAGATTACCTAAAATGTCGTATTTTGCAATATGTTCTCGCGAAATTGGTACTCGAAAAAGTGATGATTCAAACAGGGGGGCAATTCAATCTCTGCCGGGCCAGTTCGTATTTTACAGCATTTTCTCGCGAAATTGACGCATTTTACGCTAGCCCGTCAACATCCCTAGCATCGTGTTCAACATCCCCCGCATGTCCGACCAACATCCCTAACATCACCAACAAATCGTGTGACGGGGTCAAAGAAATGATGATTCAAGTAGGAGGGCATTTCAATCCCTATTAAAAAAATAAAATTAAAAGTAGCGGGGTGGTTGGGGCGGGGGGCGGCAGCCCCCCCCATGATGCAAAAAAGAAGTGATGATTTGAATAGCGGTGCAATTCAATGTCTGCAAAAAGTCTAAAAAGTAGCGGGGGGGTTGGGGGGGGGGCGGCAGCCCCCCCCCATGATGTTGGAAGAATTGATTCAACTAGGGGTGCAACTAATTAAATATTAAATCTCTGTAACAATTTTTAACACAGCGGGGGGGTTGGGGGGGCGGCAACCCCCCCCAATGATGTCGGAAGGAGTGATGATTCAAGTAGGGTGCAATGATTCAAGAAAGGGTGTGATAGAAGCTTCCCCTATGATGTTCGAAGAACTGCATACATACGGACATACATGGACTACACAGATTACCTAAAGTGTCGTATTTTGCAGCATGTTCTCGCGAAATTGGACGCTCGAAAAAGTGATGGTTCAAACAGGGGTGATTCAATCTCTACAAGAAATCTAAAAAGTAAGGGGGGGGGAGGCGGCAACCCCCCCATGATGTTTGAAGAAGAGTTGATTCAAATAGGGGTGCAATTACTCTGCAAACAATCTAAACAGTAGCGGGGTTCCCCCCCCATGACGCTCGAAGAAGTGATGATTCAAATAGGGTGGTGGTGGTGCTGATGATGCGGAAAGCCAAATCCAAAAACCAATAGCCAAAAAGCCCGAAGATGCGAAAAGCCAAAGCCGAAGCCGCGCAAACCAGCGAAAAGATGCAAAAAGGCAAAAACGCTACCCCGAAGAGGAATTGGGAATGCAGAGGATGCGAAAAGCCCAAAAGCCACCAAAAGCCGCATAAACCAGCAAAAAAACAAAAAAGCCCAGAAGCCCAGAAGCCGAGAACCGAAAAGCCAAGAAGCCAAGAAGCCAAGAAGCCAAGAAACCAAAAAGCCAAGAAGCCCAGAAGCCGAGAAGCGCAGGAAGGATTGTGGCGCGATAGGCATTGAGCGATTGCGGAGGCGTGTTTTATTTTTTATCTGTGTGTTTAATTTTCTTGCTCGATTCTTGCCCTGATACTTGTTCATGGGCTTTGCAAGCCAAGAACTAAATAAGGTAGAGGTTGTTACGCAAAACGAGGCTTGGGGGTTGCGTGGGCTTGTTTAGTTTGTTATACGTGAGTTTTATTTTCCTACGCAATTTGCTTATTTCTGCGCACGCATTTGCTTATTTTTGCTTTCGTCATTCTTTGTTTCCTCGCGAGCGCTTTTATTTCCTCGCGGAACGTCCCCCTGCTGTGCTTGGGGAGATTTGGGGAGTTTCTAATCGGCACCGCCCAACTAGTCTTCAGTCCTGGTCTCAATGGGCTAGGGGAAAGCATCGGCGACAATAGACAGCGGCTTAGTACAAATGGAGCAAAGATGGATGGAATGGATGCAGATTAAGGCCTTTCGACAAACTGTCGGCCCAATCCTGGCCTGGTGGGCCTCCTCCGCCTTTTGCGGCAACTCAGCGGCCATCGTCGCGCTGCGCGCCTCTGCCTGGGGCCGACCGAGAAGCGGACGCGGGTTTGGCATGACGAGGGCAAGGCAAGATCGCACAACCCTCTGCGGACTTTGGGCTGGTCCACATTTGAAAACTTGGTGTTTTGCTGCGATGATCAAATCGCTGGAGTCAGCCTCTGCCACCGGGGAAATCGTTTTTTGCGAGCCCACTATCGTTTTCCAATGAACAAATCATTCTAAACAAGTACTGAAAAAAAAGCCTCTGCGAAAGCGGTGTACGGAAATTCTGAGGTTGCTCTTTTGCCGTCAGTGCGTGCCATTGAGGCTCATTCTTGCTTGCCTTCACGAGGAGGCCAAAGCCAGCTTCTTGAAGGAGCCTATACATGGGCATAGCCTCATGACAAACGGTTGGCCGCCCCAATCCTGGCCTGGTGGGCCTCCTCCGCCTTTCGCGGCAACACAGCGGCCATCGTCGCGCTGCGCGCCTCCGCCCGGGGCCGACCGAGAAGCGGACGCGGGTTTAGGCTTTTTTTTCAGTACTTGTTTAGAATGATTTGTTCATTGGAAAACGATAGTGGGCTCGCAAAAAACGATTTCCCCGGTGGCAGAGGCTGACTCCAGCGATTTGATCATCGCAGCAAAACACCAAGTTTTCGAATGTGGACCAGCCCAAAGTCCGCAGAGGGTTGTGCGATCTCGTACGGAAATTCTGAGGTTGCTCTTTTGCCGTCAGTGCGTGCCATTGAGGCTCATTCTTGCTTGCCTTCAAGAGGAGGCCAAAGCCAGCTTCTTGAAGGAGCCTATACATGGGCATAGCCTCATGACAAACGGTTGGCCGCCCCAATCCTGGCCTGGTGGGCCTCCTCCGCCTTTCGCGGCAACTCAGCGGCCATCGTCGCGCTGCGCGCCTCCGCCCGGGGCCGACCGAGAAGCGGACGCGGGTTTGGCATGACGAGGGCAAGGCGAGATCGCACAACCCTCTGCGGACTTTGGGCTGGTCCACATTCGAAAACTTGGTGTTTTGCTGCGATGATCAAATCGCAGGAGTCACCCTCTGCCACCGGGGAAATCGTTTTTTTGCGAGCCCACTATCGTTTTCCAATGAACAAATCATTCTAAACAAGTACTGAAAAAAAAGCCTCTGCGAAGGCGGTGTACGGAAATTCTGAGGTTGCTCTTTTGCCGTCAGTGCGTGCCATTGAGGCTCATTCTTGCTTGCCTTCATGAGGAGGCCAAAGCCAGCTTCTTGAAGGAGCCTATACAGGCCTATACATGGGCATAGCCTCATGACAAACGGTTGGCCGCCCCAATCCTGGCCTGGTGGGCCTCCTCCGCCTTTCGCGGCAACTCAGCGGCCATCGTCGCGCTGCGCGCCTCCGCCCGGGGCCGACCGAGAAGCGGACGCGGGTTTGGCATGACGAGGGCAAGGCGAGATCGCACAACCCTCTGCGGACTTTGGGCTGGTCCACATTCGAAAACTTGGTGTTTTGCTGCGATGATCAAATCGCTGGAGTCACCCTCTGCCACCGGGGAAATCGTTTTTTGCGAGCCCACTATCGTTTTCCAATGACCAAATCATTCTAAACAAGTACTGAAAAAAAAGCCTCTGCGAAAGCGGTGTACGGAAATTCTGAGGTTGCTCTTTTGCCGTCAGTGCGTGCCATTGAGGCTCATTCTTGCTTGTCTTCACGAGGAGGCCAGAGCCAGCTTCTTGAAGGAGCCTATACATGGGCATAGCCTCATGACAAACGGTTGGCCGCCCCAATCCTGGCCTGGTGGGCCTCCTCCGCCTTTCGCGGCAACTCAGCGGCCATCGTCGCGCTGCGCGCCTCCGCCCGGGGCCGACCGAGACGTTGTCGGCTCGCAAGGCAAAAGTCGGGCCAGATGTAATCGGACGAGTCCACGCCAAACCATGAGGGCAGGGCAAAACCACCACAAATGAGTACTGCTGCCATCAACCACAAGAGCGAACATGCTAAAGATGGGAATGGTGCTTGTCATCCCGCCAAGAACAAACATGGACAGGAATGGACGAGTCATGAAACAGAAATGGGAAGACATTGCAGAGTCACTTTAGGAATGTTGAGACATGCACATAGGAACTGCGATGCACTGTGTACAGTGCATGAATGCTTGATAGAGAGCCCAATATACCCTTGTGTTTTGTATAGACACCTTGTAATTCAGTTTGTGTTTGCCTGTGCGTGTACATGACCCCTTGACCTCATGGTCCCGCAAGACAACAGGATGTGCTTTGAGATGGTAGCATAGATCTACACCTTTCAGGGCGTGTAGCTGAACGGGCGACACGTTGGCACAATAGTTTCATGGACAGGATTCATTTTCAAGAGCGTGGTGCTTTGCCGACAGCGAGCCATCCGCGCTCATTCTTGTTATCAGACTGATTTGGTTGATGACCCTTTCGACGAACGGTTGGCCGCCCCAATTCTGGCCTGGTGGGCCTCCTCCGCCTTTCGCGGCAACTCAGCGGCCGGCGGTGTACTGCGCTCCTCCGCTAGCTGTCGGCTCGAAGGGCAAAAGTTGGGCTTGCTTGACGTAATTGGACTAGGGCATGCCAAACCGTGAGGGATCAAGGAACAAAACATCCACAAGACAAACAGGTTGCAACCTTAGGAATGGTGCTCTTCATCCCGACAAGAACAAAAAGGGAGAGTAATGGAAGAGTCATGAAACAGAAATGGGAAGAATGGCAGACTCACTTTAGCAATGTTAAGACAACCATATTAGCACTGTGTAGGTTGTGCATGACTGCTGGATATAAAACCCAATGTACGTTTGTGCGTTTTGTATAGAAACCTCGTAATTCAGTTTGTGTTTGCCTGTGCATGTACATGACCCCTTGACCTCATGGTCCCGCAAGACAACAGGATGTGCTTTGAGATGGTAGCACAGCTCTACACCTTTCAGGGCGTGTGGCCGAACGGGCGACACGTAGGCACAATGGTTTCATGGACAGGATTCATTTTCAAGAGCGTGGTGCTTTGCCGACAGTGCGAGCCATCCGCGCTCATTCTTGTTATCAGACTGAATTGTTTGATGACCCCTTTCGACGAACTGTTGGCCGCCCCAATTCTGGCCTGGTGGGCCTCCTCCGCCTTTCGCGGCAACTCAGCGGCCGGCGTTGCGTTGCGCTCCTCCGCTACCTGGCGGCTCGAAGCGCAACAGTTGGGTCTCACTTAATTGGACTAGGGGATGCCAAGCCGTGAGGGATGATTCTTTGCCATCAGGGAACCGAGCATATTACCACAAGAGAAAACATGTTTCCCGCCAAGAGCAGACATGGAAAGCGATGGAAGAGTCATGAAACAGAAACGAGAAAATGGAAGAAACAACAAAAGAAAAGGACAAGATAAATGGAAGATAAATGGTCGAATGATGTCGAATGTTTAGGCATTTAAGCATGTTAAGACACCCATGTAAGCGCTCTGTACAGTGCGCACGAGCGCCGGAGAATGCTAAGATCGAATAATAGGCCGAGGTCGCGAATATCTCAACCCAAAAAATCAATTTTGGAACTGGAATAAACTGAGTGGTCAATTTTAGTTGGGAGTTCCAGAGAGACTCCATCAAAATGCGTGCGCACACTGAATGAGAAAAGAAGGGCAAGAAATTCGCCTCGGCGCCGGGAAGCGGTCAGACCCCTTCAGAACCTCTTCGGGATCTTCTAAACCCCATCCCCGCTGCGCTCCTCCGCTAGCTGGCGACTCGAAGCGCAAAAGTTGGGTCTCACTTAATTGGACTAGGGGATGCCAAGCCGTGAGGGATGATTCTTTGCCATCAGGGAACCGAGCATATTACCACAAGAGAAAACATGCTTCCCGCCAAGAACAGACATGGAAAGCAATGGAGGAGTCATGAAACAGAAACGAGAAAATGGAAGAAAAAACAAAAGAAAAGGACAAGAGTGGAAGAGAAATGGTCGAATGATGTCGAATGTTTAGGCATTTAGGCATGTTAAGACACCCATATAAGCACTCTGTGCAGTGCGCACGATGGCCGGAGAATGCTAAGATCGAATAATAGGCCGAGGTGGAGTGAACTTTTCCTTTGAGGTAAGGCCTCGGTAAATTTGGGGTTTTCTGTCGCGTCCTGTGTAATAACATGTTCTCATTGGTGGAATGCTGAGTTGCAGTGTCTCAACGGGGCATCTGGGCCCAAACTAACACCATAATTAACCAAGCATTGCAACCCAACAGCTACACCATAACCTAGCGCCACTAAACTCAGCGCCCTTTTGCATCAAATTGGGTAGCGCTTGCAGCAATGCGCCTGGCGCATGAAGCTGACAGTTAAGAGCGGAAATCACATATTTTCAAGGAACAGCGGAAACGCGTGTTTCTTTGCTAGTTGGTGCGCGGCAAGAACTTTGCCGAAATACGTTAGGAGGCTCTGCGCTCAACCTGAACCCTCCAAAACGCTCCCTCTCCCTCCCTCCCTCTCCCTCCCTCCCTCCCTCTCCCTCCCTCCCTCCCTCCCTCCCTCCCTCTTTCCCATGCGGAGAATACCCAGACGTGAGATGTCTAACTATGTTTAAACAATATATTTTTACGCAGTGCGAACATCTGGTTCCGTCCGGCCACACCCCTCCCCCCTTCTGGCCGGGCGAAGTCAACGAACTAGCCACGGTGCTAAGCATGTTGATCACAAGACGTTGTCTAACACATCCATTAATAGAGCTCCAAGACACATGGACGCCGAGTGTTTGCGCAGCACGGGTCGGTTTAGCCACTTAGATGAAAAAAACACGCGCAGCCACTTAGCCACTTAACCGTGGCTGAGTGGCTGAGCGGACAAGTGGCTGAATGAGTGGCTGAGTGGCTGGGTGGCTGGCTAGGCGGATGAACGACCGAGCGGCTGAGTGGCTGAGCGGCTACGTGGATGAGCGACCTGGATGAGTGGCTTGAACGGCTGAGTGGCTAAGTGGCTAAGTGGATGAGCGACAGAGCGGCTGGGTGGCCAAGCGTTCCGGATAGCGCGCCCCGTTCCGGTTCGCAGCCCCCTTCCGAGCCCTTGCGCTTCAGGAAAAAAGAAGCGCCACCCCCCTCCCCCTCCTGCCCGTTCCGGATTGCGCACCCCGTTCCGGATCACCCCCCCCTCCCCCCCAACAAACCCTTACATTTTTAAAACGTGCCACCCCCCTTCCCCTCCTACCCGTTCCCCATTGCGTAGCGCCGCGCTTCCCCCAATAAGCCCCTGCATTTCCAAACTTTCGCAACAAAAAGCAGCGCCACCCCCCCTCGACTTCTACCCGTTCCGGGTTGCGTACCCCGTTCCGGATCGCGCCCCCCCCGCCCCAACAAACCCTTGCATCTCCAACACATCTCAAAAAAGCAGCGCCACCCCCTCTTTCTATTCGTTCCGGATTGCGCGCCCCGTTCCGGATCCCGCCCCGTTCCGGATCGCGCCCCCAATAAACCCTTGCGTTTCCAACATTTCTGAAAAAGCAGCGCCACCCCCTCCCCCGTTCCGGATCGCGCCCCGCCAACAAACCCTTACACAAACCCTTACACAAACTCTTACATTTTTCAACATTTCTGAAAATTCAGCGCCCCCACCCCCCCCCTCCAACCCGTTCCGGATTGCGTACCCCGTTCCGGATAGCGCCCCCCCAATCAACCGTTGCGTTTTCCAAACTTTCTGAAAAAAGCAACCCACCCCCCCTCCCCCTCCTACCCGTGCCGGATTGCGTACCCCGTTCCAGATCCCCCCCCCCAACAAACCCTTATTTCCAAAATTTATTTAAAAAAAGCCGCGCCACTTAACCCTGCTAGAGAGACTGTAACCCAACATCTGGAGGCTGTTGGGAACAAGGGATCGTTGGCTTGAGGACGACGCGTTGTTTTTGGCGTCCACCCTTGGAGCCGCTTCCGGCAGTAGCAGACACATGCTTAAAGAATAGATTTTGCAGAGGTGCCAGGGCGGCGCCCTTCAAATAGAGTGCACAAACTTGCCGGCAGACTGAAACTGAACATACGTTTTGCATCTGTTGCATTGTCAACTTCAATCGCCCCTGACTAAAGAGGGCCACAACAAAAAGTCCCCCCTGAGAAAAGTGCATCGCGCAAGTGTCCATGTTGAGGAGCCCTTTGTGGCCGGCTGGCTTCTTATCGCCCCACTTCAAAAGGATCTTAAATCCGCCAAAGGAATTCCCTAGTTGCGACATGTTGCGACAACCAGCCATGCACATATCTTGGCAGAATGATGCACGGCACAAAGCCCCTGCAGCCCCGGTGGATATTGCAAGAAACAAAAAGAACAAAACAGTTTTCTGTACAAGTAGAAAGGCCTCCGGTCCATAGTAGCATCCATCATTATGTCCTGCCGGGCACTCTGAGCAGGCTTGACATACCGGGGCCCGGTACCCATACGTGAATGGTGACAAGTTTCCATGGGTTAGGATATGTTGAAGCAACGATGTTGAAAACCATGCCTGTTGAAGAAACGTTGCAACATTGGGGTTAACACCTTCGTCCAAGATTCTTTAAACTACAGCATGTCAACACAATTGTGAAGAACAATGGATCAATGAGTCTTGAAACCATTGCCGGTCCAGACCGGGCTCCGGTCAAGCCTGACTGGGGCCCGGTCATACCGGGGCCCGGCACCCATACGTGAATGGTGACAAGTTTCTATGGGTTAGGGTAGGTTGAAGCAATGATGCTGAAAACCGTGCCTGTAAGAAATGTTGCAACATTGGTGGTTCACACCTTCGCCAAAGATTCTTTAAACTACAGCATGTTAACACAATGGTGAAGAACAATGGGTTAATGAGTCTTGAAACTATTGTGGTGCCAAAAGCTGCTCCACAAATTGAACAACCATAGATTAAGATTCATCCCCATATCCACAAAAGCATAAAGGCCCGTGAGCAAGAATTTGGCTGTCGCCTTCCGACCCCTAATTTTTCGGAGCACGTCAGGTTGTGGCTACAAGCAGCCCCACAAGTTGTGTGTCTTATTTGTTTTCCTATAGAAGGCAAGATTACTCAGACTCAGCTATTATGCTTGTAATTAAGCAAAGCATTGGCTCCAGACATCGCTGGTGAGCGTACGCGCGCGAGAGTTGGGGCAAACAAAAACCCTTAAGATTTTGACGGGCAACAGGTAGAAGCTTAAAGGTTTAAGTTTGTCTCCCCCCGTGCCGTGTTGCAGGCCTTGCATAGTTTGCAGCAGTCGGAGAGTAGCAGCGATTAGCAGAAATGATTCACGAAATGTCAGCAACTGAGACAGCGCAATTTGGGGGCCTCAGAATTTGTACAATATAGCCAGCGTTTTCAGGGGCCCCGTGCAGCGCCACCTCCCCTGCCTGCTTCCCCTGTTCCTTGCTGCCCCCCGCACCCGCACTTACATATTCCAACGCATTTACATTTTCCAAAATTCTCAAAAACATCTTAAAAAAGCAGCCCTACGCCCCCGCCTGAACCCACCTCTTCCAGAATGCCCCGTTCCGGATGGCTAGTACCCCGTTCCAGATCGCGCCACCACCCCCCTACCCCCTTCCGGATTGCGCACCCCGTTCCGGATCGTGTCCTTCCGCGTTCCGGATTGCGTGCCCCGTTTCCGGATCGCGCCCCCCCTCCCCCCTTACATTTTCCAGACTTCTGACAAAAAGCACCGCCCCCCCCCCCTACGCCCTCTCCCCGTTCCGGATTGCGTACCCCGGATTGTGTCCCCCCGGGGTTCCGGATTGCGTACCCCGTTTCCAGACCCCCCGCGCCTTACATTTTCACAAAGTTCTCACAAGAAGCACCGCCACCCCTACTCTTCCCCCCCGTTCCGGATTGCGTAACCCGTTCCGGATCGCGCACCACCCGCCCCCCACCCTGACATTTTTTAAAGTTCTCACAAAAAGCACCGCCCCCTCCCCCGTTCCGGATTGCGTACCCCGTTCCGGATCGTGCCCCCGCGCGTTCCGGATTGCGTACCCCGTTCCGGATCGCGCCCCCTCCGTGCATTTTGAAAAATTCTCAAAAAACACCGCCACTCGACCCTGCTAAGAGAGATTGTAACCCAACATCTGATCGCTGTTGGGAATAATGCTAAGCTGTCATTATAGAGCCCAGCCCAATATATATTTGTGCTTTCTATATCAGAAACCTCGTAATTTAGTTGGTGTTTGTGCTACCATCTCAAAATACATTCTGTTGTCTTACGTTAACATGAGGTCAAATGGTCATGTCCATGCACGTGCAAACACAAACTAATTTTCGAGGTTTCTATTAAACAAAACAAGTATATATTTGGCTCCGTAGTGACAACTTAGCATCATTTTAGTAATGGTGTTAGTTTGGGCCCAGATGCCCCGTTGAGACACTGCAACTCAGCAACATAATTGCTTCTTTCCACCAATAAAAACATGTTATTAGACAGGACGCGACAGAAAACCCCAAAATTATGGAGGCCTTACCTCAAAGGAAAAGTTCAAACCCTCTGGTGATGCAGCTGCTGCCTTTTTGTCCATGCTCATGTACCCTGCTCATGTCTTGCCTTTCTTTTCTCACTCAGTATGCACGCATTTTGACGGAGTCTCTCTGGATCTCCCATTACCCAATTCAAAAGTAGTATATACTAAACTTGACCACTCAGTTTATTCCAGTGCCAAAATGTTTTTTTGGAGGTTAAGATATTCTCGACCTCGGCCTACTATTCGATGTTAGCATTATCAAGCATTGATGCACACTGTACGGAGTGCTTCTATGGGTGTCTGAACATGCCTAAACATTCAACCATGTCTCTTCCATTTCTCTTGTCCTTTTCCTTTTCATTTCCTTCCATTTTATCATTTCTGTTTTATGACTCTTCCATTGCTGTCCATGTCTGTTCTTGGCGGGAAACATGTTTTCTCTTGTGGTAATATGCTCGGTTCCCTGATGGCAAAGAATCATCCCTCGCGGTTTGGCATGCCCTAGTCCAATTAGGTGAGGCCCAACTTTTGCGCTTCGAGCCGACAGCTAGCGGAGGAGCGCAGCGCAACGCCGGCCGCTGAGTTGCCGCGAAGGGCGGAGGAGGCCCACCAGGCCAAAATTGGGGCGGCCAACCGTTCGTCGAAAGGGTCATCAACCAAATCAGTCTGATAACAAGAATGAGCGCGGATGGCTCGCACTGTCGGCAAAGCACCACGCAATGGAAAATGAATCCAGTCCGCCCGTTCAGCTATACGCCTGAAAGGTTTAGGGCTGTGCCACCATCTCAAAGCACATTATGTTGTCTTGCGTTAACATGAGGTCAAATGCTCCTATCCATGCACATTCAGGCGTATAGCTGAACGGGCGGACTGGATTGATTTTCATGAGCGTGGTGCTTTGCCGACAGTGCGAGCCATCCGCGCTCATTCTTGTTATCAGACTGATTTGCTTGATGACCCTTCGACGAACGCCCCAATTCTGGCCTGGTGGGCCTCCTCCGCCTTTCGCGGCAACTCAGCGGCCGGCGGTGTACTGCGCTCCTCCGCTAGCTGTCGGCTCGAAGCGCAAAAGTTGGGCCTCACCTAATTGGACTAGGGCATGCCAAACCGCGAGGGATGATTCTTTGCCATCAGGGAACCGAGCATATTACCACAAGAGAAAACATGTTTCCCGCCAAGAACAGACATGGAAAGCAATGGAAGAGTCAGAAAACAGAAATGAGAAAATGGACGGAATGAAAAAGATGCTCGATAATGCCAACATCGAATAGTAGGCCGAGGTCGAGAATATCTTAACCTCCAAAAAACATTTTGGCACTGGAATAAACTGAGTGGTCAAGTTTAGTATATACTACTTTTGAATTGGGTAATGGGAGATCCAGAGAGACTCCGTCAAAATGCGTGCATACTGAATGAGAAAAGAAAGGCAAGACATGAGCAGGGTACATGAGCATGGACAAAAAGGCAGCAGCTGCATCACCAGAGGGTTTGAACTTTTCCTTTGAGGTAAGGCCTCCATAATTTTGGGGTTTTCTGTCGCGTCCTGTCTAACAACATGTTTTTATTGGTGGAAAGAAGCAATTATGTTGCTGAGTTGCAGTGTCTCAACGGGGCATCTGGGCCCAAACTAACACCATTACTAAAATGATGCTAAGTTGTCACTACGGAGCCAAATATATGCTTGTTTTTTTTTTTTTTTTTTTTTTTTTTTTAATAGAAACCTCGAAAATTAGTTTGTGTTTGCATGCATGGACATGACCATTTGACCTCACGTTAACGCAAGACAACAGAATGTACTTTGAGATGGTAGCACAGCCCTAAACCTTTCAGGGCGTATAGCTGAACGGGCAGACTGCATTCATTTTCATGAGCGTGGTGCTTTGCCGACAGTGCGAGCCATCCGGGCTCATTCTTGTTATCTGACTGAGTTGGTTGATGACCCTTTCGACGAACGGTTGGCCGCCCCAATTCTGGTCTGGTGGGCCTCCTCCGCCTTTCGCGGCAACTCAGCGGCCGGCGGTGGGCTGCGCTCCTCCGCTAGCTGTCGGCTCGAAGGGCAAAAGTTGGGCTTGCTTGACGTAATTGGACTAGGGCATGCCAAACCGTGAGGGATGATTCTTTGTTGGCGTCAAGGAACAAAACATCAACAAGAGAACACATGTTACAACTTTAGGAATGGTGCTCTTCATCCCGACAAGAACAGAAATGGAGAGTAATGGCAGGGTCATGAAACAGAAATGGGAAGAATGGCAGACTCACTTTTGGAATGTTAAAACAACCACATTAGCACTGTGTAGGTTATGCATGACTGCTTGATATAAAGCCCAATGTACGTTTGTGCGTTTTGTATAGAAACCTCGCAATTCAGCTTGTGTTTGCCTGTGCATGTACATTACCCTTTGACCTCATGGTCCCGCAAGACAACAGGATGTGCTTTGAGATGGTAGCACAGCTCTACACCTTTCAGGGCGTGTAGCTGAACGGGCGACACGTAGGAACAATGGTTTCATGGACAGGAATCATTTTCAAGAGCGTGGTGCTTTGCCGACAGTGCGAGCCATCCGCGCTCATTCTTGTTGTCAGACTGAGTTGGTTGATGACCCTTTTCGACGAACGGTTGGCCGCCCCAATTCTGGTCTGGCGGGCCTCCTCCGCCTTTCGCGGCAACTCAGCGGCCGGCGGTGGGCTGCGCTCCTCCGCTAGCTGTCGGCTCGAAGGGCAAAAGTTGGGCTTGCTTGACGTAATTGGACTAGGGCATGCCAAACCGTGAGGGATGATTCTTTGTTGGCGTCAAGGAACAAAACATTAACAAGAGAAAACCTGTTACAACTTTAGGAATGGTGCTCTTCATCCCGACAAGAACAGAAAGGGAGAGTAATGGAAGAGTCATGAAGCAGCAATGGGAAGAATGGCAGACTCACTTTAGCAATGTCAAGACAACCAAATTAGCACTGTGTAGGTTGTGCATGACTGCTGGATATAAAGCCCAATGTACGTTTGTGCGTTTTGTATAGAAACCTCGTAATTCAGTTTGTGTTTGCCTGTGCATGTACATGACCCCTTGACCTCATGGTCCCGCAAGACAACAGGATGTGCTTTGAGATGGTAGCACAGCTCTACACCTTTCAGGGCGTGTAGCTGAACGAGCGACACGTAGGCACAATGGTTTCATGGACCGGAATCATTTTCAAGAGCGTGGTGCTTTGCCGACAGTGCGAGCCATCCGCGCTCATTCTTGTTGTCAGACTGATTTGGTTGATGACCCTTTCGACGAACGGTTGGCCGCCCCAATTCTGGTCTGGCGGGCCTCCTCCGCCTTTCGCGGCAACTCAGCGGCCGGCGGTGGGCTGCGCTCCTCCGCTAGCTGTCGGCTCGAAGGGCAAAAGTTGGGCTTGCTTGACGTAATTGGACTAGGGCATGCCAAACCGTGAGGGATGATTCTTTGTTGGCGTCAAGGAACAAAACATTAACAAGAGAAAACCTGTTACAACTTTAGGAATGGTGCTCTTCATCCCGACAAGAACAGAAAGGGAGAGTAATGGAAGAGTCATGAAGCAGCAATGGGAAGAATGGCAGACTCACTTTAGCAATGTCAAGACAACCAAATTAGCACTGTGTAGGTTGTGCATGACTGCTGGATATAAAGCCCAATGTACGTTTGTGCGTTTTGTATAGAAACCTCGTAATTCAGTTTGTGTTTGCCTGTGCATGTACATGACCCCTTGACCTCATGGTCCCGCAAGACAACAGGATGTGCTTTGAGATGGTAGCACGGCTCTACACCTTTCAGGGCGTGTAGCTGAACGAGCGACACGTAGGCACAATGGTTTCATGGACCGGAATCATTTTCAAGAGCGTGGTGCTTTGCCGACAGTGCGAGCCATCCGCGCTCATTCTTGTTGTCAGACTGATTTGGTTGATGACCCTTTCGACGAACGGTTGGCCGCCCCAATTCTGGTCTGGCGGGCCTCCTCCGCCTTTCGCGGCAACTCAGCGGCCGGCGGTGGGCTGCGCTCCTCCGCTAGCTGTCGGCTCGAAGGGCAAAAGTTGGGCTTGCTTGACGTAATTGGACTAGGGCATGCCAAACCGTGAGGGATGATTCTTTGTTGGCGTCAAGGAACAAAACATTAACAAGAGAAACCTGTTACAACTTTAGGAATGGTGCTCTTCATCCCGACAAGAACAGAAAGGGAGAGTAATGGAAGAGTCATGAAGCAGCAATGGGAAGAATGGCAGACTCACTTTAGCAATGTCAAGACAACCAAATTAGCACTGTGTAGGTTGTGCATGACTGCTGGATATAAAGCCCAATGTACGTTTGTGCGTTTTGTATAGAAACCTCGTAATTCAGTTTGTGTTTGCCTGTGCATGTACATGACCCCTTGACCTCATGGTCCCGCAAGACAACAGGATGTGCTTTGAGATGGTAGCACGGCTCTACACCTTTCAGGGCGTGTAGCTGAACGAGCGACACGTAGGCACAATGGTTTCATGGACCGGAATCATTTTCAAGAGCGTGGTGCTTTGCCGACAGTGCGAGCCATCCGCGCTCATTCTTGTTGTCAGACTGATTTGGTTGATGACCCTTTCGACGAACGGTTGGCCGCCCCAATTCTGGTCTGGCGGGCCTCCTCCGCCTTTCGCGGCAACTCAGCGGCCGGCGGTGGGCTGCGCTCCTCCGCTAGCTGTCGGCTCGAAGGGCAAAAGTTGGGCTTGCTTGACGTAATTGGACTAGGGCATGCCAAACCGTGAGGGATGATTCTTTGTTGGCGTCAAGGAACAAAACATTAACAAGAGAAAACCTGTTACAACTTTAGGAATGGTGCTCTTCATCCCGACAAGAACAGAAATGGAGAGTAATGGAAGAGTCATGAAACAGAAATGAGAAAAATGAAAGGAAATCAAAACAAAAAGGAAGAGAAATGGAGGTGACTTGAACAAATGGAAAGACACAAACAGGACGGGCAAAATACGTATGAAGACATGGAAAGACATAGTATTGCTCTGACAATGATGTCTACCATGTCTTTCTGCTCCTTTCGTTTATTTGCAGGTTTGACAACTTCCCCCAACTTCTCCTTCATTTCCCTCCCTGTTTGTCCCGTTCTGCCCGTTTTTCCCATGTCTCTCAATTTGCGTCCAGTTCTCTTCATTTGCAGTGTTTTGACTGTCTGTCCATTTCTCTTCCAGATCTCTTCCATTTCTCTTCAAGTTCGTTTCATTTGTCTCCAATTCTCATCCATAGTTGCCATCTGCCCTTGTCGGGATCAAATGGACAAGTCCTATCGATACAACGTATTAGTAGTCAGTGTAATCTGTTTCCTATCGCGAAATCAAGCATACCTCGTCAAGCCCGGGTTTTAAGTCACTGTGGTTGATCTTATGGTTTTGACAAAGTGGCATGACAATTGGGTACCCCTCGAAATGGTGGGTGTGATGCTGGCTACCTTTGAACTCGATCCTGAAAGGGACCCTAGCTTTGACACATCCCCAGGTCTCGCAGAATATAGCATCTGAATTGCAAAGAGGCTAGACATGGAGAAAGTACAGAATACTGAATACTGTGTGTAGCCTGCAACTCCGATATCAATAGAATTCGGGTCGTACTTTGCACCTTCTCGCAACCTCTTGCACGAGCTTGGCAACAGACTCTGGGGCGGGACAAGTTCTGCAATCTCTGCTTTAAACGCTAGTCAGCAAACCTCCCCTCGAGCTTTCGACTGAGTTTCAAACAGAGCATCCGGTGTGCATCTGAACGCACCAACGTCCGTCAAGAAACAACGGCAACAAGCGCTAACCGTGGCGCACTTTGGGAAGCATATCCGGGGTGACAAGTGGCCTCGCACTGGCAGCCTTTTTGTTTGGCTTCACAAACCACAAGCTCAAGTCTGATGCCTTGGGAAGTCAAATGGCTGTCATCAAATCTATCTGTAAGGATCATTTTGGCAACAAGGTCGAAAGATTTTGATAGGGAACAAGTATGAGACCGATTCGGAAGCTCAGCCATATTTGACACCATCAATGCGGCGGCGTGATCGGGGCCCGCGACGCTTCTCCTCGACATCAAGATGCTTTGCTCTTGTGGATTGGCGCCTTGGCCAAACACAACGTCTCAACGTCTCTCCGCGAAAGCTCGGAGCTTTGAGTGCGATACTGCTGCTCTTCATCGATGACTCGTTGTGCGGATGTGCGCCGCTCGGCCTAGGTTCCCGCATAACACCAGACAAAACTACATGCTGCGAAGAAGAGTATCCTGTCTGCAAAGGTCCGCGTGCATCACGTATTAATCTGCTCCTTTTGCCTAGAGATTCGTCAAAATGCATATGCCCACTTGGCAAGACCTGATTGGCATACGTGTGTATACACGGTGCTCAAACTCGCATCCACTGCACTCCACGCAAACCCTATCAAACCCAAGCTATAACAACGTTTATGGGTGTGTCTGAGAATTTGAAACGGTTGATGTCAATTTGGGTTCCGTTGGAGGCATGTGAGTGATCTGTCTGCGTGAGCTATGCATCTGCTAATGACTGTAGAGCCACGCAAATGATCGCAAATGGAAGTCGTTCTAGATCGTTCTAGGACTTTGAAGCTGGAGCTGCGAAAATGGGAGTTGTAAGCACGTGCCTGACTCGCAGCAAAAGCATAATTCCAGCGACTAAGATGGCCACTGCTTTCTTCTTAAGCGCCACTTCCTGCACAGGTTGGGACAGCAGTCGCTGAGTGAACGAGGGCACTATCGCTCTCCAATTCGTGAGGACTCCTTGCGCCGGCATTTTGTCACTTCTCAGTAGTCCCAAGCAAATCGCGGTAACCAAGGGGTCTCCCCAAGGCCAAGTATCTGCAAATAGTCTGTGATGTTTGACTGAATGAAACACATACGCTACTTGCACTATTTGTTGACCAATCATTCCTGACACATGATCAAAGATACCTCTCCCCAGACAAACAAAAATACTCCTCAGTTACTACTCCTTCGGTTGGGTTCTCCCTGGCCCATTTCGGGAGCCTGGGCGTTGCGCTCCGCAGAGCGCTCGCCTTGGCGCTTGCGCACAGGGCCGAAGGGCCGAAGGCAAGCATTCAGTTTTTCTGTGATACAAGACATGACAAAAGTTCGAAGCCCAATACTTCTCTTGAAACTGGCCAGGACGTTTTGCCAGCCGTCAAGTTCTGTCAGTTGTTGTTGTGCTGTGCTTGGTATGTGTTGTGGTATGTATTGTGCCATGTGTTGGGGATATGACCGATAGTGGTGCAGCGCCACTGAGCAATGACAATGTCTGATTAACTTCGCACAAAATCAAACATTGTTTTTCTGATGTTAAAGTGATTGAGGGCACTTCCACTCGTGGGTCAAATGAGGCCAAACTAAGCGTGTCTGAGCGGGGCTGTTGGCTTTGGCACGTTGAGGCTTGAAGCAAAGTTCGCAAGCGCTGGCGAAGCCTTCAATGTTTATCCCCGCGCTCTCTGCCTTGAAGGCTAGTTACAGACAGCCCTGTTCTCCCCGCTTTGAGGCCCCTTGCGCTGGCGCAAGCTCTCCTCACGCTCCGCAGCCTCGGTGGCAGTGCATGGGACTAATCTAGCTTGGCTGTGCGTCGGCTTTAGCTTGGGGCCACTCCTTTTGGTTTGTTCTGGATTGATTTGCTAAGTCTGATCACAGGGCTCGGCAGCGGAATTCACGCAGATCTCCACATGACTGTTGCCATCACAGGTCTGGCGGCTTTTGCTTTCCACAGAAGACCTTCTATAGGAGACCTTTTCAGAAGGCTTATGTCTGAAGAGCACGTGCAAGACCTTCTGTGGTCGTTTCAAAAAATACGTACAGAAGCAAGTGAGCATCTGATCATGTTTGACCCAACTCGGGGAGATGATGAGACCCACCCAAACTTTTCCTGCAACCACAATAAGTATCAGGCCCCCTCTTCTTCTCTTGCGTCATTCTCGAAGCCCCCGGTCTTCGATGGGAGTGCCTGGCAAATGTAGCGGTTTGTCAGCACCTGAACGACCTTCAGCTTGGGGACGAAGTGCCATCTACACCCCAATTTAGCCATATTCCCTAGCCATGTTCTGGGCATTGGGAGGGCTACAGTGAGAACGGTAAGTTTTCGACACAGCTGCGAAAATGGCATGACATCCACCAGAAGACGGAACACTCGTGCTTTTACAGATAGTCATGGAAAGGTGCTAATTTCCTCCCAGCGCGAGGTCAGGGCCGATACTTTTGCAAAACATACTCACACAACACAACTTGGAACCCTTTGATAAGCATTTGCATGGGGATTCATGACATTTCATGACCATGACCCATTTCAAACCAGAACCATACACCGTGAGTCAGCAACGCTTGACTCATCTTGCCGATCAGATTTGAACGTTTCTGACCTTGGATCTGAGGCCATTGCTGCATTGCGGGCAGGCTTTGGTGTGGCCTGCAGGATCGCTATGACCCATGGCGATAAGCTGCCACATCAACATCATTGGGTCTTTCCTACATACAAGAAGGCACCACCACAAAATCACCATCCGAACGGAGTTTCAGTTCATTTTGGTGACCAGTGTATTGGTCAATACTGATTCTGCCAAATTGTACCGTACTATGGCTTGCGGTTTGTGGCACATCACCTTCCAGATTTGCGCATCGCTCAGCAGCGATTGCAGGCAAAAATGTGGCAAGGGAGCCACAAGAGTGCTTCATGTCAAAGCCCATGGAAGAAACAACTCGCTTGTCTCAAAAATAGGGAGCTTTCCAACTGATGATCCTCTTTTTTAAGGGGGAGGGTGTCTCAAGTGGACCTGCCCGTATCTTGAGAGGCTAGCTGTCACTCACAAAAACACATGCGTACAAGTGGAGTTGAAGTGATGGCTGCTGTGGGGCGCGAGAAAAGCATCACACACCCGCAGCCTTCAATGCAAATCACGATCCAGCAATTGCCCCGATTGCCCCCCCCCCCCAACACCAAATATGTGAATATATATAGAGATATTATACATGTATTGACCAAACCCCAACGCAAACACAATGACACGTGTTGGTCCTCATTCATCCCTTTGCTCCTTCTCTGCCTCAGCCGTATGGGCCAAAAGCCTGGTGGTGAAGCCTTTAAAATACGTTTCTGACGATGGTCCTCTACGAGCCCGGCCTCTGAGTCCTTCGGGCTCTTCTGCCTGACCTGGGCGATCCAAGGGATCCGGTCAACACCATGGGGGGGGGGGGGGCATTTTTAGAGCGGCGGAAAAGGGAACCAAGAGAAACCAAACCAACTACAGGGTCTGACCATCGTGATGCATCCCAAGCAAGGAGGTCTTTTGACCACAGCACATTTGGCCGGAGCACGCCCCACGTGTCCAAGTTTCATTGCAACACCTCTTTGCGGAGTGGCAAGCAACAGACTTGCCCCATGTCTTTGCGGGCTGCACTGTGCACTGCTGGGGCTTACCCCTGATCACAAACTCGCATGCACTTCCCTGATCTTTCTCCATAACCGTTACACAGGGCATTCTTGAGATAGCAGCACCAACTGGCCCATGACCCAGATATATCCGGATGCTGAAATCAAATGTTCGAAAGACTTGATTATTTCCCTCGCTGGGTGGCCCAACAACCAAAAAGCGGGCCAGCAAAACAAGGGGCACCAGGCTCCGTGCTCACCACAGACACAGAATCTTCAGGCAACTGTCCCGCAAAATCGGGTTTTCTTTTGTGGCGCAAGGGTGGAAATGCGCGTACGGTGACTGTCAAAGCCATTCCAAAGGGTGGCTGCTGCTACATGTTCAAGCACACCGCCATCCCCCTTTCCAAAGCCGCACCCCACCCACTCCGGCAAGGTGCCCGCTGCGGGCTGTCGAACACCACCTGACGTAAAGACTGCACCACCACCAAGAGCCCCACTTGCAACCCGAACCAACTCGCTTCGAACTCCAAATAGACCTACTCCAATGAGAAGGATCCTGCCAAGCGTCAATTGTCGCAAAGTGATGAACCCGAATGAATACAATGCTTGCTCGAGCCAATGCTCGAAGCTCAGCAATCCGTGCAGAAATGCTTCAGGGCTCTGACATTGGCATTTGCTGAGCATTTGCTCACATGGCCACATGACATGGGCAAGGTATTGTTGAACCAAGGCATGAGATGACAGCGTCTCTTGCTGGCGCCACGAATGCCTCGCAAGAATGGCGTCGGCTACTGAGCCGCCGGCCTTGTCCGTCTCCCACGCATTCTCGCTCGCAAATGACATCCTCCGAAGGGGTGATTGTGGCAGGTACCCCTTTCAAGTTGTCTTTAAGGGAAACCAAAAAGTGTTTTCTATTTTGAGGGGGTCCAACAAATTATATTTGAAAAAGGCTTTGGAATGCTTTTGAAGCGGCCAATCCGCAGGTCACCAAACAGGTTCAAAACCCTGAGGTGGTGGTTTTGAGAGTTTAGCGTGATACGGACACCATGCAAACGCAGAGACGGATGTTGGTTAGGAGAAGATATGGAAAGGACAAAACAGGTATGTGAGTCCCAAAGAATACAACATGAAAATGAGTCTTCCAACTCTCCCATCTTCATCCTATCATTGCATTCTTAGCTATCAATTTAAGATGGGAAGGGTTGGGAAGCAAGGGTCCATTTTCATCCTTGTATTCTTTCATTCCTTTCCTACATAACAAATTACTCTAAAGATACTTGATGTTATTAGACATAGATGGGCGTGATGATGACCACAAACACGCTCCAAACTCCGAGGCGAGGAGGTAGGATATGTTGAAGAACGGAGAAATCGCTCACAAATTGGATCTAGGAAGAAGGAAAGAATCGAATCTTATTCGCACCACGGACACCTGCTGCCCGGGCGTACATGCCTTTTCATGGATGTTCCGGCCAGCAAGAACAATGGGAAAACAGTGTTTTGTGGCATTTCAACCATGAGTTCGCCACGTGTTTGCGCAGCACTTTCCCGGCAACTGTTTACACAAAAATACCGGACAAGAAACTTCTTTTGGTTGTCGTTGTCTTCTGCCATACTTCAAGTGGAGCGCGTGGAGAATGGAAACACATGGCCTGCGTGGAGGTTTGAACACATTCAACAAACGCCATCCTGAAGAAGCAGCATGTCGCTTTGCAAAAAGCGCTGCCGAAATCCCACAGCAGAAGCTGCTGTTCACTTGCCAAACCCTTTTCCGAAATCATGACACGTCTGACACGCCTTGTTGTAATTTGCCAAATGGCATCACGTTGCGTCATCCGTTCGCAACCGCTGGCGATCCACTTGCACCCTGGCTTGTGAAAGCATCTTCCACCACTGGTCGCTTCGCTGATGGCCTCTCGCTCTGCTCGTTGCCCAATGTCGGATTTGAACCAACACTGTGTCTAAAGGCCTGTCACTGCACACTCACGCTATATCCACGAACAATTAAATTCTGATTGCTATTCAAACAAACTGGGCTCTTCGGGCTCAAGGCTTCACCAAGGCTGTTCTCCCAACCAAGCTGTTTGTGCTACCCAGCGGCGAAATCCTCTTGGCAGAGCCGCTCCACAGCTCCCAACGATGCCGCTCTGATCTCTAAGATCCTGTTGGATTCTCCGCACTGCGGTCTTCAAATGCAACTGCTCTTCCATCTCAGCCACGTCAGCGGAGCCAATAGGCACTCCATCTTCATCACGCATACCTGCAAAGTCAAACGGCCATGGCACGATCTTACCGTAGCACACGCCCCTCATATGAAAGCGGTTGAGCGGCTGAGGCGGCGAGGAAATGTGAGCATGAGCCATGAGCATATTGTCAGGCGTGTGCCTATCACTCCAAACAAAACCCGAAACCCTACCCCCCCGCGCAATCATGAGCCATGAGTATATAGGCAGCCGTGTGCTTATTGCCCCCCGAAACAGAACCCCAATTGTCTACTGCGCGTATACTCGGATCAATGAAGCCGTGACTTCTACTTTATGGACTCGGAAGATCTTTAATAATACTTGTTTCCAGGAAGTGGGAAGATAGAAAGTTAAAGAATATTCCTTCTGTCCCTTTCTGGTCTGCCAACCCATTAGTAGCCACACCTTGAAATCCCTAGGCGCAGTGGTTGTTGTTGTTGGCACTCGGCTGTTCAGCCGCCCCCAGCAGGTTCGTCACTTTTGATGTCGCACTCTTAGCAATCTCCCACGCCTGCCACGCGGGCAAAAAATCGCAGCTCGCATTTGGCCCACGAAGGCGTTCCTTTCACGCGTTCCGCGCTACTTTTGATGTCATGTTCTTATATATCCGCCACGCCTGCCACGCGCACGTCGCTCAAACGCACCCATGCCTGGTACGCACACCCGCCCGCGCGCATGTCGCTCAAATGCGCCAATGCCTAGCACACGGTGAGCCCGCCCACGCGAATGTCGCCCAAACGCACCCGCGCCCGGCACATGGTAAGCACACCCGCCCACGCGCGTGTCCCTCAAACGCACGCACGCCGGTTGTTGGTTGTTGGTTGTTCCTTGTTTCTCGTTGGCTGTTGGTTATTTCTTGTTTGGCTCTTGATTGTTTCTTGTTTGTTGTTTGTTGTGGGTTGTGGGTTGCGGGTTCTGGGTTGTGGTTGGTGAGATATCTGGAACTACCTGTGAAAACCGCGTTGCTGCCCTTTAATGGTGTTGAGGCCGACTTTTCGTTTTGGACCCTTGCCAAACCACGCGTTTGGCTGATGTGAAAACGCAATGGAAGAATATTCTAGAGCCCGGCCATCATTTTCACACTGTTGAAAACAAAGATTTAGATATCGAAAACGCAAAAACCGCTGGGATTTTGAAGCCTCGGACCTAAATCACCGAATTTCAACGGACAGCCCTTGTGGGGGCGGCTGGACAGCCGACGGCCTTGTTGCTGTTGTTGTTGTTGTTGTTGCTGCTGCTGCTGTTGTTGTTGTTGTTGCTGTTGCTGTTTCTGTTGCTGGCGCTGCTGTTGTTGTTGTTGTTGGTGGTAGTGGTCTTGTTGGTGTTGTTGGTGTTGTTGGTGGTGTTGGTGTTGTTGTTGTTGTTGTTGCTATTTTTGCTGCTGCTGCTGCTGCTGCTGTTGCTGTTGCTGCTGTTGTTGTTGGTGGTGGTGTTGTTGGTGTTGCTGTTGGTGTTGTTGTTGTTGTTCTTGTTGTTGGTAGAGACTAAGACTGGGACCCTCTGGATACTTGATTGTAGCCTTTTTGGTGAGCTTCCTGGAAGACACTGAGGGTTACAGACGCAGGCCCAAGGTGATTTGAGAAACAAGCAGCGTGGACACGAAAGAAGGGTTTTTGCGCCCTGTTGTGGGGGTAAAAACAACCAACCGGGTCCCTGTTTTCGTTTCTAGGAACGAGAAGAAAAACCAACACCTCAAGAGGGTCAGAACAACTGACAGAGCGTGTTAGTTTCGACGTGTGGAGACGTAGGGAAGAGAATGTGTGTTGGTCCAGTGGGCTTTCAGATGTGGTGAAGCGCGGTCTGAGCCAATTTGTGTCATGAAACGGATCAGAGGCAAGCCCTGACCCTCCAGCCATGTGAAGAAAGTGGCCCTGAAGAAGAAGGCGGCTGGGCTTTCCAACCAAGCCTGCTGGTGTGGGTGGTTGTTGGCGGGGGGGGTGGTCATAACAACCGACGGGGCCCCTGTTTTTGCTTGCGCAGGACTGTAGAGACTAAGAGTCTAAGAGAAGAATAATGTGTGTGCGGGGTCCCTGTTTTTGTCTGTACCTTTGTTGTTGTTGTTGTTGTTGTTGTTGTTGTTGTTGTTGTTGTTGTTGTTGTTGTTGTTGTTGTTGTTGTTGTTCTCCGTGCGTTCGCATCATGGCCCCCAAGTTGATGAGCGCTTCATGAATTGCGAACAGTAGATGTGGAGCGGTGTACCATGTTGACCCCTGCTTGCATTGTCACCTCTTCCAGTCTTCGCTCCTCCTTCATGTATTCTTGTCGCCGCGATCAAACTATGCGTTCTCAACGCCTCCTAAATCCTTCTTCTTGCGGGGTTCTTTGGGATGACACTGTGGCCCTCGCTCTGCCACGAACCTACAAAAGCGGTGAGTGTGCGGGAAGCACTTCTCCACCATCATTTCAGAGCGCACGCCCAGCTAAAGATGCGCGTTTCGTAGCAAGTTACGCTTTCTGTCCAGGGCTGGGACGCACGGCCATGGCCAGCGGAGATACTACTAGTAGTGCAATTACTCCCGCTACAACAACGACAGCCACGACGACGACGACAACAACGACGACGACAACGACAGCAACAACCACAACGACGACAACGACAACCGCAACAACCGCAACGACAACAACGACAACAACGACAACAACGACAGCAACGACAACAACAACAACAACAACAACAACAACGTTCGACGAGTGTAGACCGGCTCCACGCTGTAAATTGTGTTGTGAGTTTGGAGGAAACCGTGTTATGGCAACCGCTTGAAAGCTAGCTCTGTGAGACAGATGACAGATGACAAGACAATAATTAGTTAAGCAGGCGAGAAAAAGTGCGACGTGCGTGTGGGAGAATAGACATGCGCAAAAAGCGTGGCCCTGCGCGTGAACTGGCATCTCCGGAGAGCTGAAAGCTAGCCTGTTCGTGGCGCCTGGTCGGAGCGCGTTCGGAACGGGCTCGCCGTTGACACAGCAACGCGAAGGTTCCACAAGGCTTGAGCTGCGTGGCAGGCGCAGCACTTTTGCAAGGTGTTACGCGGCAGGCGCAGCGCAGCACTTTCGCAAGGTCAGGTGATCTAAGACTTGAAATTGTGTCACCTGCTGAAACCAAACGAAACTTGCGTCTGACTTTCTGTCAACACAGCATAAAGCGTCAACGTAGACAGTTTGTACAACCCAGGAGCACAGCGAGCCAAACGATGATCAAGATCCCTTGCCGAAACTTGCCCTCGTTTCTCTGTTGGAAGCTGGGCTTCAAAAAGTGAACAAAAGATTCCTGGCAACAAACAGCTGTTTCTTGGATACCTGCACTGCTCTCGACACGCTTCCCAGTTTTGCATGTTTGACATATTTGTTGCTGGCGTCGGGCGTGAGAATGAAAACAGTAAGATCTGCAAATATAACGTCAAGAACGATAAGCCTCGCGCTCAACGCAAAATATCGAAACTGAGACATAACTTCTGCCGCGAAAAATGTCTGCGCCAAGACACTGGCATACAGAGATGCACAGAAAGGCACAAAAGCACAGAAACACAGAGAACGAAAGACCCAAGCACAGACACACACGCACACTGGAGGGGTCCGAAACACTAGCTCTTTTCCATCAATTGGGTCCCCTAGAACGAATTGCGAAAGGAAAAGGAAGAGACAACTCGCGTCCTCGAATCCGATAAGTCGGAGTCAGCAACATGCCCCGAGTACCCCGAGTACCTGCCGCTTCGCCCGACGGAGGTCGTGCGCAGCTGTTTGTTTGGGTCAATGTCAACACATGTTGACATTGGGTTCTCTTTGAAAAGAGGTCAGATTTCATCCCTTGACCCTGTAGCAGTTTTGTCTGACCATTGTTGTCCATTTGTTTGACTCGATTGACCTCAATGTCGGGCTGGGGTGGTGGTGAAAAGGCTCAGGGGTGACAGCTTTGCAGCAATGCCTCCGAATTGCGGAGGCTGAGATTCCCCAATCAGAACGACACGTAGGGAGAGAGGCATCTCCTGAATGAAACCCATGCTGGGGGGTGCAGGATCAAAACAAATTATTCACGGGATCAAAAAGAAATCCGGATCAAAAACAAACTATTTACAGGATCAATAACAAATTATCTCGCCTGGGGGGTGCCAAAGCGCTGTAATTTACATAATTTTCGGGCAACAGCGCGCGCATTTTACGGCTCCAGCTGGAAAATAGACACTTTCCAATACAAGCGCAGTACGCGAAGGTCACTTTGGCAGCTCCAGTTCGAAAATCACAGCTTTTCAAATACAAGCGCAGTTCTATCAACGAATCTAGCATCGGTTAAATGTCTGTAGGGTTGGCTTGAGGTTGTGTAGGGTTAATGTAGGTTGGGTTTCGGGTGGGTTTGGGTTGGCTTTGGTTGGTTTAGGGTTGGCTTAGGATTGGTTTAGGGTGGGTGTAGGTTTGGCTTAGGGTCTGTTTAGGGTGGGTTTAGGGTGGGTTCAGGACGGCTTAGGGTTTGTTTACGGTGGGTGGATTTAGGTCTGTTTAGGGTAGGTTTAGGTTGGGTTTAGGGGTAGGTTTAGGGTGGGTTTAGGGTTGGTTTGTGGTTTAGGGTTGGTTTAGGGTGGGTGGGTGGGTTAGGGTTGGCTTAGGGTTGGTTTAGGGGTTGGGTTAAGGGATGGTTTAGGCTAAGTTTACGGTGGTTTAGGGTAAGTGTAGGGTAGGGTTAGGGCAGGTTTAGGGTTGGTTTCGGCTGGGTTTAGGGTTGGCGTAAGGTTGTGTAGGGTTGGTTTCAAGGTTGGTTTAGGGTTAATTTTGGTTGGGTTTCGGGTTGGTTTAAGTTGGGTTTAGGGTGGTTCTAGGTTGGCTTCGGGTAGGTTTAGGGGTTGGTTTGCGGGTTTAGGGTGGGTTTAAAGGTGGGTTTAGGGTGAGGTTCTGAGGCTTGGTTTTGGGTGGGTTTAGGTTTGGTTTGGGGCTTGGTTTAGGGTTGGTTTAGGGATAATTTAGGG